AAGGCTCTTCAACTGCTATGCAGCTAGTATAAAGTCTTCAGCATCACAGGGCAAGAGCGAAGTCCTTTATTAGAAGTCTTGCCTATAGGACACACCAAAAAAATTCCCAAGCCCAGGCGCTACTCTCAAAATAATTCCCAAGCCCATCTATGAAAAACCCACCTCTTCCACAGCTCAGCATAGCAGAAAGTCAAATCTCCTGGCTGACAGATCCAGAATTTCACAAAAGCTCAATTCTTTTCTCTGGCACAGGGGTGAAGCCCCAACTCAGGAGTTGACTGCCACCAAGAAGTAGCTGCAGTCTGGCCAGTGGGTGGTTCTAGAAGTGGTGGTGTGACAACCCACCACAGCGCTTGTCTCTCTTGAAGGGTCTCCTGCCATATAGAAATGCAAATGTAAGGTTTAGGAATCCAAACAGCACCTGAAAAAACAGGAGTTTTCAAAGTAGCAAATAAACCCTCCAGTTGCAGACAGGCTGTGTGTTCTCACTGCTCAGCTGACAGCAAACTAACAGACTGCTAACGCAATCAGTCCCTATTCCTTTTTTAAGGACAACTGTCTCAATCACCTGAAGGCATGACTTCTCCTAAGGAGTCGATCATTACCACATAGCACTGCACTTGCTGGTACAGAAAGTGCTTGTAAGCAACGTAAGTTCTCTGCAATCACAGGCAGCTCTTGCTTTATTGGGGAAAGGAGCAGGTTTATAGTCTTGTAGCTGTTCAGGAACACATTATCAATGTTAGATGCATCTGAAAGAGGATGGATGCTCTTGCTCTTTTCCAATTTTTAGAGAATTTTCATTTCTTTCTAAGATTCTGGAACAGCTAATCCTGGAAACTATTTTCATGAAGGACAAGAAAATCATCAGTAGTAGTCAGCATGGATTCACCAAGGGGAAGTCATGCTTAACCAACTTGATAACCTTCTACAATGAAATGACTGGCCTGGTAGACAAAGGGAGAGCAGCGGATATTGTCTACCTGGACTTCAGTAAGGCTTTCAAACATTGTCTCCCGTAAGATCCTCCTGATAAAGAAGCTGTTGAAGTATGGCCTGGATGAGCAGACACCGAGGCAGATTGAAAACTGGTTGAATGGCCGGCACCAGAGGGTGGTGATCAGTGCCACGAAGTCTAGTTGGAGGCCAGTAACTAGCGGTGTACTCCAGGGGTCTATACTGGGTCCAGTCCTGTTTAACATCTTCATTAATGATCTGGATGATGGGTTAGAGCATACCCTCAGCAAGTTTGCAGATGACACCAAGCTGGGAGGAGTGGCTGATACTGCAGAGGGTCGTGCTGCCACCCAGAGGGACCTTGACAGGCTGGAGAAACAGGCTGGCAGGAACATCATGAAGCTCAACGAGAAGTGCCGAGTCCTGCACCTGGGAAGGATCAACCCCAGGCATGAACATGGGATTTAATTTAATTTAATTTAACATGAGATGAATCTGAGTCTTGCTTGGGGCCTCTTGCACTAAGTGCTGTAAGGACAGAAAGTATTCCCTCATTAGACTTGCGGAGTGAGAAAGATTTAAGAGGTTTAAGAACCTCTTTGAAGCCTTCCATATTTTGCCTTCTATCTTTATGAAAACTATGTGGGGTTACAATGCACAGAAGGGTAAAATACCCTGACACACTCAGACAAACCTACCACAGGAGCTTGATTTCAGACAAACGCCTCAAAAGGCAAGCGCTTACACAGACAGCAGCACACAAATTACATCTCCTTCTCCACAGCTGAATTCGCTTCAGAATCCGAAGTTCAAGGCTAAGAGCACTTACCATTTTCTGTTGTTAAAAAGCAACGCCACAAGGCATGTGGGTTTTGGTTGCATAGTTGCAAGTAAAGGGCAATAGGGTGTAATCCCAACTCTCCAATCAACCTTCTGCATGACCCTGGGGCAAGACACTTTTTGTACCTGCCTCCCTCCCTCTTCGTAGGGTTATTCAGACAGCAAGTTCTTTGGGGCAACAACTCTCACCTTTCATATAATATTGGCAAAGCAAGCTTAGATTTTGACTAAATCAAATTATTGAATATTAAAAATGTTCCCTGCGAGCTCCATCTCATCAGGTTTCTTTAGTCTAACACCGAGTAGGCAAGTGATAAACTGACAGCTGAAATTCAACATAGGTTAATCGCAGAACAGTGCCCATAAGAAAATACAGTCACAACCTATGTACGTAACCATGGGCTCTGAAATAGCTATTACCACTCAGGAACGAAACCTTGGGGTTATAACAACTACAAAAGCATCAAGTCAATGCTTCTCTGCTGTTAAAATACAGATCAGCGTTACGAATTAGGAAGAGAAAAGAGAACAAGGCAGCAAATGGTTATGCTGCTGTGCAAATCCCTGTTCTTAAGACTTCATGGTTGATAATGCACTAGGGACACCTCGTTCAGTTCCGGCTGACACGTCCTACACGTCCCTCTCAGCTTGCTGTTGGCTTCAGGACACTGTCAAATCTCTCTTAAGTAGGCATCTAATCTAGATTCCCAGAAGTAATGAACAGCTCATTCTTAGCCCGAGAGGAGATTCAGTTATTCAGCACATTAGAGAACCAGAGTTATTACATGGGTACTTAAAATATGGAATTAAAGCTTAACTTTAGGAAATCAGGCCTGAAAACTACCAAACACTTCATCTGAAGCGGTATAACCAATACTGTACTGCCAATAAAGCAAACGTATCTTAACAAGCCACCATCCTCTTCATTTTCTGTAAAATCATAACCTTTTAATGCACCACACAAAAAGAGAAACAAAAATATTTTTGCTTCAGACTACAGTTACAAGTACGTACCTTACAGAAAAAGGTGGGTGCACAATTTCAAGCATGCAAAGGCAAACAAACAAGTAAAACTTCGTAGCAGCAATGAAGAACTCCAAATTAAGTGCTGCTGCGCTTTTTGAGAGGGCGCTGATGAATCACTGAAGGAAAAAAAATGGATGTGTAAGCGGGAAGAGTTGAAGGTGTTAAACAAAAAGTAATTTGAGAAACTACTAGAAATAGAAGTCAGTCAGTAACACGATTCCAGAGGTAGGAAGTAGAGAAGCAAATTCAGAACTAAATTTTTACAGGCATGCAAGATACAGCCATACCTGAGAAAGTCTGAGCCAACACATCAACACAGGCTAAGTAGAAGAATGTGCATTTGCAAAAAATGCTTCCGATTAACTACATTATCTGTGACAAGTAAGGTCTGACTAAGGACCTCAGTCAGTATGTCTGATCCTTTTCAGGTTTCCACATCTGTGTTACGTGTTTGCATTTACTGTGGCAGCACCTAGGCTCCAATGTCATGTATTTGTACAGCACCCACCGAAGCAAGTACCCACAAAGAGATGAAACTGAGGCAATGTAGGTCTGCTGACACTTTAGGAGTTATGCTTATGCTGTCTTAGCAATCCCCTGGTACAGAAAAATACTTTATTTATAGCATGAATCTCCTACACAAAACTCTAAATGAACAAGTCCTCTCCCCTACATTTCCAGGGGTAAACTTTACCCATAAGTCTCCAACCACAATGAGGATTTTTACAACAAAATGGTTCAAAACTTGCCAGTAAAGCAATTCTCAGCAAATGGAAGACCTCCAACTCATCAAACTGGAAGCTCAGAAGCTGGTATTACAGAGAAAACAGCAGAACAGCTGGTTAGAAGACACAAAAAATAGTCTGTATACCTCAGGAAATGCTTACAGCTAGTCACTCAGACAGAGGTATTTGCTGAAATAAGAGCTATAAATAAATCATGTTGCTTAAAGCCACGTCATATTTCAAGCTAAGTTCAGATCATACTAAATTTGTCATCGGTGCTTAACTTTCTACAGCATGCCACTCAAATTATTTGACTTTTATAAGCAAATCTATGCTAATTCATATTAGGCTAATTTCTTTGTTTTACTACATAGTAGCATACACATACTACATACACTTAAGTGTTGCTCAAGGTCAAACAGAAAACTAACAGCAGAGCCAATGACAGAATCTAGATTCTGTTATTGCCCCAAGTCCTGTGGTTTTAGTATTAGTCAGGCTGGTTCTTCACCTCTGCTGCAGTGAGGTTTTCTAATGGTGGATTACAACTATTGCCAACAGCAGCACACGTGGTGTAGAAGTGACTGACTCTGTGGGAAGGCCTTGTGCAACAGAAGAGGACAGTAAGGAAGCCAACACACAGTAGGTAAAATACAAGTTTTTTTAAAAATTGTTTTCTGTTTTACAAGCAAATGTTTGTACAGAGGTTGGTGGAACACAAGCGGACAAAATAAGCAAAACACAAGACCAAGGGTTTGTCATATAGATCTGCAGCCAAAACGTAATAAAAGGGCAATAACTGGAGATATTCACAGCGTTGATCAACTACAGGTCTATACACCCTCCCCCCAACACGTGTATAACAGGAAAAAGACATCCAGCATCAGCTTTCAAACAGCTAAAATGCCCTCAGAGCTCACTTCCATTTTAATATCTGCACAATTCTAGGTGCAATGGAGCAGAGACAGCTGCCATCATTCATAGCCACCTCTTGCCAACTCTCTGTCACATACTGTTCCCAAACAAAAAGCAAACATAAAACCAGGAGCAGAGTGCAATGTATTATTTTACATCTGACTGAAAAAAACAAAAAAGAGTTGCAGTGTTTAGTAGTTTAGTTAACTCTTCAGGTTTTCAGGAGAATTTTCTTCCATTGTCTCCCACTTTGAAAACTTCAACCGGCACTCCTTGAAAAAAAAAAAGCCCAACCCCAGTGTTACTTGATCTCAAATATAGAAATAGTGAGAGAGCGCAAATGCCAGGTTTGAATCAATTAAGCAAAAAGTTAGTTACCTACGTGTGACATTAGAGGAAGTGAGAATCTGATAGCTGGCCAGATACAAGAATGAGTTTCCCCTCAGTTCTACCTATAGCATTTCAGTAATGACCTGTAATCAGTTAACCCTGGATATTTCTAGCAAAGACTGCCTGACAGCACAGAGCTTCTGCTAACAGTCCACTCATTCTGATTCAAATGGCTAAGCATTTTAAACTCCTTCTTCCTTACATTTCCCTGGGTTAAACGTGTATTTTCTTTGGATTTGGGAAGAAAGACAGACTCACTCCTTGTTACTTTCATCTCCATTCTGGTGTAGAAAGTACTGTCCTGGAGTCAGGAGAGAACAAACTAGCTGCCAACTGTCCAACGACCCCAAATCACTCTGGCGTGCAGACGGAGGACTTACGAGAACAAGGCTGTAACTCTGAGAGATACCATCAGGGAAGAGAAGCATGATAGCACATAGTCCTTTTCCAAAGCTTCCCACTTATTGTGGATGCAGCACAGGGACTCCATGATGAAGCACCAGAACAAGGAAAGCAGGAATACAGACAAAGCATCTCCTCAGCAGTGGGTTTTCAAAAGAACAAAGTCATCTGAAAGCTCAAAAAAACAGGATCCCCAGAGCAACAAGCAGAATTGTGCAATTCAAAAACACACAGACGTGAATCTTACTTTCAAAGGGCTTTATATTACAAAAAATGTAAGTCACAACGAATGCGAAAAATCCATTCAATGAGGCTTGTTTCCAGTTTGCTAGGAAAGCTACTTTTCTCTTCTTTATTCCCAGCCTACCGCTGAAAACATGATTGCCAAAACAGTGACACCTCGAGCTAGATTTTTAAAATCAAACTTGCTCTGCCAGATCCAGTACTCTGAACTTGTCCAGGTTGTAGAAACAAGCCTTCACGACTCTGCCTCCAAAGTATCTTCCATTTAGATCCACAACAGCTAGAATTGAAACCAAGAACCGGTCAGCAAGCAGCAATTCAGTAAAATAAACATTTCTTTAGCTAAACAGTCTAATCAGTGAGACTGTTTAATCTCTCTACAGAAGCTAACTTTGAGGTTCACAGGACACAATTTAGTATCCTACCTTTGATGGCAGATTCAACCCGTTCAAACTCTAAAAATATTCTTACAGCTTCATCATCAGGGGCACCAGGAATCTGAAACAAAACAAAAAACCCCAAAACCCAGAAGTAATTACAACAGTAACAAAAATACTGTTTTAAATTGCTGTTCTTCACAGAAGTAGTGAAGAGAACACAATAGAAAGGTTCCAAAAGCACAATACCCAGAGATTTTTGCCCAGTTTCTGATATTGAAAGTTTGTATCTTACAGATATGGAAAATACAGAATCACAAGACTGCGAGATCTGCAGTAACAAGCCAGTCGTGAGGGACAAGTACCCAGGTCACTGTCAGAGCAGCCAAAGAGAGATTTTCTCTTACCTCAAAGATGACACATTTCCCAACCTTGCCATATTTTTCGCATTCTTCCTTAGTTTCAACTTCTAGATCTTCATCCACCTCCCCAGCACCTACCATGTTCTGAAAGTTAAAGGAATAAACCCAACTCAGTGGATGCAGTCTGTACAGACGATTACGTAGACAAATCACAGATGCATGCAACTGTGGCCATGAATACTTTAAGCGTCTATCAGTCAAGAGCCACAGGAGGAGACAGTGCCCTAGTACTAAGACAAGGTAACTATAATCTAAAGCAGTGTTGATTTACAGTCACAACTTGTATCTCAGGAAGACACATATCTTCTCCACAACACAAAGCACCATGTAGCACCGTTCGAACTGTACAAAGTCATTGTAACAGGAACACAGGTTTAAACATTTCAACCAGTCACGTATGCTGCAAATACCAAGACATGTTCCCTTACTCCCAACTTACCCTCAGTAAGACCACTTTAGTTGGGCATTTCAGTATCTCAGTCAAGGGGTTAGAATCCGCTTTCTTGCCGGTTTCTGCTATGAAGATAGAACAGTGAATCATGGAATAATTTAAGATTAAAGCTCATTTAAACCTTATATGGGGGCTTTTATCAGAATCCTACTGTTATCAGACAATGGAATAAAAGCCACAAAATGTAGTTTCATATTGGTGAGGAATAGCTATTTGGAAGGACAAGCAGAAAAATCACTGCTACAGAATGTGAGTTAAGCTAGAACACTGACAACATACTATTTCTTCGAGGGAAATCATTCATAAGTTCAGAATTGTATCAGAGCCCCTAAGAACTGAAAATCAGATCTCCTGACTTCCAACACTTGTGCTCAGGCAGAGGTGCTGTTTTAGCGAGCCTAGATGTTGTCTCTAGATTAGACAACAGCAGGGAAATGAGAACAAGATCTAAAGCATGTAATAGGGAGAAAGTCAGCAGAAGCAGAGCTTGAAGAGAAGAGGCTTCCAAACACTAAAGGAGGACAACTGGTGGGGAAGGGGAGGATGAGCTAAAATAATTAATAGAGGACCACTTTAAAAAAAGATGAAAAAGATCAATTTCCACAAGACGGAACACAAGTCATTCTTCCAACTGTATTTTCTGCAAGGACAGATGGTAAACAAAAAATCCAGGAGCTTCCACTGAGCCTGAACTGTTATTTTTCCCTGACCATGTTTCACAAACTTATTGGTGTAGGACAAAATTACCTTTCTCTGCAGAATCGCCAACAATGATCTTGCCACCCCTCTTGCTTGTTTTCTCCACTGACAGTGCTGTGCTCAGCCCCTGTTCATGTTTTCCCAGCCCCTGGCCCTCTCTGAAACCATACTTCTGCATGATTTTATGAGCTACTGTCCCTCTGCAAAGAGAAAAAGCATCGGTCAGTAAACGTTTCTTACACAAAACATTAACACTGCATTCCTCCTGAGTGCTCAAATACTCTACCTTCTAAAATCTCATTACACAGAGACTGAAAACTTAAGAGCTTCTACAAGACTTTACAACCTAGCAATTTCACAAAACCCTGTGAAGATGAAAAGTGTTACCCCTGAATTACAGATAGAAGAGTTGTCAGAGAAGTTGACTAAGTAAAATTTTTCATACTCTTACAAATACAACCCAACTTCCCTTAGCAGTGCAAGTCTGCATGGTACACTCTATAGAACGGTTTGGGTTGGAAGAGACCTTTAAAGATCAGCTAATCCAACCCCTCTACCACAGGCAGAGGAACATCTTTCACTAGATTAGGTTGCTGACAGTAAATCACAAAACAGATTAGACGAAGGTCTATTTAGTCCAGTTTCTTATCTTTGTCAGTGGCTGGTATCAAAAGCTTGAGAGGAAAGGCAGAATATCTACTTCCCACATTAGATCACATTCCACTATCTACTAGTTCAAAGCTGGCGTAAGCTCCAGTGTACATAGCTTTGCTAGCCCTTCCTATAACAAATCTGGATATCCTCAGTACTAATTTAAACATGTCTTATCTTTCTGAATTTTCAAGAATGTATTGAGGCAATGAAGTCCCCAACCTATTTAAAGGTACCTTTTCTTTGTAAGTACCTTACAAAAAGCACCTCCATTGACAGGTCTTGAAATTCCCGCTAAACGAATAGATAGAATCAAAACATACCTACACGTGTTGCCATTTCTTTGGAGACCATAGCTAGATAGGCCAAGACACAAAAGATATGCCATGGTATAATAGTTTACACCACAGTAAATATTCTATGTTCAGTCACCCCCATTTTACCAACAGGCATATAAGATTACACAGAAAATGCAGGATCGGTGATTACATGACTATTTTCTAAGCATGCTATATGAAACATATAAAGACACATTAAAAAAGGCCAAAAAGTCTGACTACGTAATGCTGAAAGGTTAAAATACTAAGTCACAGAATTAGCAGTAGCCAATTATGTGGTCAAAGTAAGGCAAGTTAGGTCATATTTTTAGTGCTTCCTTCAATGAAGTGAAGGTCCCAGGATATTGCTAACTAGAGGTGGTAACAATGCATAAATTGGTCCAACAGTATTGACTTTGGTTATCTCCTTTTTTTAGACAATAAAAAAAAAAAAAGCATTTCTATCAAAAAACCTGCATGAAAAATTGTCTCCAAAACGGAAATGCAATGTAATCATGTTATAAACTACACTTTTATGTCTGTGTCCTGGATACAGTTTTGACTACACTGAGTCTGCATTTTCACAACACCCAATGTGATTAAGAGGACCATAGCTAACCACTACACCTTTCAAATGAGGTCTCTAAACTGTTTTTAACTATAAATTCAACTTCATTTTCTTGCCACAGTAGTAACACAAGCATTACACACAATGCTAATCCAAGGCAGAAAAGTAAATGGACAGATTTGCAGCCACAGCTGCTATATTCATGCAAATATGCTTTGAATTTTTGAACAAACAAACAAAGCAGAACTGAAATGATTTGCCCACTGGTACGTAGCAAATTTAAGACAAAGCTGGAAAAGAAACCTAGAGGAACTAACATGCCATCTGTGTTTTCCTGTATACTACATTAACTTGGCTTGTACAAGCCATAAACACTTTATACTGGAATGTGGCTTCAGAACTGGCTTAAAAGCACAGCCTTGAATGCAACCACCTCAAATGCATTTCTCTCGATTGAGTAAACCCACTGCTTTTTCTGTATCCTGCCAGTTAGGACTATATGCACTCAGACTGACCACATACATGCAATGGGTTGTGTTCTTCTACTGACACGAACTATTTTAACTTTTGGTTTCCACCACCTTCTTTTTTCCACAAAATGTGCATAAGTCAATCATTTACCCCATGTTAGCAAGGAAAGAGTTGCTAGGTCCCGTGGGGGAACGAGGTCTTTCTGGCTCATCATACACTGGAGGAGGAATAGCTGCTTTGGAAGATGGTGCCCGAGGTCTCGACTCCTCTTCAAATGGAAATGATGCTACAGCTGAAGAAAATGGAGACATTTGCTTTTTCAATAAAATACTTTGCATGAACTACCTACTTGTTATGAACACGAGAGTACTATGTCTTCAATCTAACTCATTTACAGAGCGCTCTTCATCTGCAAGTTGTAATTTTTTCTGCTTTAATACTAAAAATCTACGAAAAAAGTGTCTTTCACATAAATCCAAACCAGAAGAATGTTTCCTTTGCACATGCTGATTTAACATCCCCTCACCTCTCTCTCTCTCAAAGACAAGATTTGAGTTGAGTTATTCTGGATTTTCCTCATTGGATATAGAGCGAGTTTGTATCCACAGGTCTATGATGTGTTTATTAACCTCTTACTTACCAAATGGAGAAAAGAAATATTAAGAGGCCACCTGCACTACAACGAGGTTATCCACGCAGAGGGCAAGCAAACTTAAAAGCTCCATTCATCAGGAACAGAATTATGACAAAAATGGATCAATGCACACAGCCTGGGGCCTGAGGACTGTAAAGAAAAGTACACTGTATATTTACAGTGAATCAGTCTATTAAAAAGAACGAATGCAACTCGAAGCAAAGTATTTATACAATCTTAAGAGATCTTACTGACAATTTCTGAACTGCAACTTCTCCTGGGGGATGGAGATATATACCTTTCTATATCTATACATAGATACCTCAGTCATACTGATTAGATTATTAAACTACCTTGACTGACAAGTCAAATGGCAAAATGTAAAAAAAAAGCCTACAGAACACTAAAGGAAATATGCAGAACGCACTTTTGAATGTACTTATGGACTTCTAGACTGACTTTATTTTACATTATTTTCTTGTGAACTAGTACTTGTATCTTACCAAATAAAATGTCAGATGTGAAGTTTGGGGATGTCGTATGAGGGAAAAAAAAAAATCCCTATTTAAGCAGCAGATGGACTGGACTATGGGACTTCTGCTACAGCAATATTTTCTCAGGTTTTTCCAGCCTAGCTTTGAGCACCAAGTAACAAACCGTACAAAGGTTTCCTTGTGAGATCACGTCACATTTTGAAAGCTCTCCGCCTCAGGATATTTCTACCATTTCCAGCCTATATTTACTTTTCCTTGACACCGCTCAATTGCTCTTACTTACTCAAAACAATCTCTTGCTGTTTTTAATGTTTACACACTTCAAATGCTTTCACTATTGTATCAGTCAGTTACTCCGCCAAGCTTCATTTTTTTTTATTTGAATCTTCTCATAAATAGAATTTGGACTCCCAAAGGAAAGTTTGTGTGCATAAGATTCTTTTTTCTTACTGTTTTTTAATGACACACACAACGTGCCGTTCATTATTTTAATTTTAAAATGTAAGACAATCAGACATGCAAAAAATCCGAAGTTTTGCTCTTATAGCAAGATCTTGCCATCTAGTGGACAACTGCAATCTTCAAGCTATTCTCACTGAGGGAAACCCTAGTGCACGCACATCTCTTTAGCAGATACTGTATCCCTCAAAAACTTTCAAAATTCTGTCTGTAGTGCACAACCCCTTCAAGAAAAGATATTCATAAACTACCTCCTAAAGCAAAGGGTAATGGAAAAATTCCCTCTGCATGCTGTGGAGGTTTCTAGTCTACCCAGAGAAACCTGTCTGTAACATTTCTTCTTTCACAGCAGAAATGAGTAACTGAACAATGTTATAACAGACCAGCCTGCCAAACCACTTCTCCAGCAACACAAAAAGAATCCTTTAGAAAAGAGATGTGAAGCACAGTAGTATTGCAGGTTCCCCACAGCTTCCCCCCATCAACAAAAAACTAGTGCAAGTTCTTCTGCC